TTCGGTCAAAAAAATCTTACTCAGTTAAAAATGCTAAGAACAGCCAAAGTTTGTAATTGTCTAGCATGATTTATTTTTACTTGACCTTAACTGTAAAATATGTACAAGCGCTAATAATTTAGTAACTTAAACAATCATAAACATGTCCCAGGTTTTTAGACACACCCCTTGGGAAATATGCAACCTGATTATATGAGCGGTTCAGTGGGAGCAATGCGCTCATATAGCGCTTGTACATTTACAATCAGTAAATGTACTCGGTATGACATTTGTTAATGCACAATATCAGGTTGATTTTGAAAAAGTGTAAAGTGTCAAGGCGTGGTTTTCGCAAGGTTGCTTTGGTCACTCAGTGAAGGTAAGATGTAAAGAGAGAGAGAGATAGGGAAGCATACACAAGATGTAAATGGTTCACCCTAATTTTGCCTACGTCCACGAGTATAAAAGAGTTCTCATTAATAAATGTAGAGTTCACATGATACAAAGATTTAAGTATAATAATTATTAGTGAGTTCTAATAATGGGTTAAGTAGAATGAGATCATCAAAGATCAATTGTGTCAGAATGGTGTCTTTTTATAGTTGAGAAGAGTCCCTTGTTTTCGTTTGCATTTAATGTGAGACCTTAGGAGCTTTGTTCTGATGTTGACATGTTCACGTTGTGATTGGTCTCTTGATTGGAGAGAAATTCATGTATTTCGGCATGGATGCCTCAACATAAACCCTTCAATAGGCCTTTGAAGGTATAAAATTGACAAGTCATAGGATGCCACCAAGGTTTTGGAAACATTAGTTTAACTACATTATGTCCTTATGAATCAGAACTTGGAAGCTAGAAGTTATTTTAGTTACAGCTGCAGCAACAAATGGACTATGGACTTCGTTCTTATGCTGCTATCAAGGATTTAAATAAGTTTGCATTGGGATTTCCAATCTAAGACCAATCTTTATAGTAGTGCTATCTACACCTCGTTTTATAACATACATTATGTTAATTTGTTATTTGATTATTTTCAATTCATTCAATTTAACAGCTAAAAATTAAGAGGTATGTCTAAAATATAAATGGCTTGTTTGGGAAGTATTTTTAAATAACTGAAAACGGTTTTAGAGAAAATGTTTTTAAAACCAATCCTAGTAAAAATGCAAGTTCATCCTAAAAAAGCACTTAAAGTGCTTCTTGGAAGAAACTCTTCAAGTTCTTTTGGAACCTAAAATAATTTTCTTTAAAAGTGTTTTCAGTCATTTAAAAGCACTTCTCACACAAGAAAAAGAATGTTTGAATATCATAATCCATAGTTTATTGTAAATTCAAAACGATGAACCTTGGATGGGGACTAGAAGTTTTTTAAATAAACGAGTCAAATAAAAAAGAATTTGGTACCTAAAAACCTTTCAACCTTTTAGTGTCATTCCAAATCGATCTCAACCTTTTTAAACATTCTAAACAAGTGCCCAACCCATTGAAAATGTCCACCTGCTAAGCCCTAATTAATTTTTTATACAAAGATAATATTCAAAAGCCACCAATTGGGTATATCATGGTCAAAATTAGTATTAGTTGCCTCATAATCTGAATTTCAAAGAATAGGGTTAATAATTCAAATAGGGCTTCATGAAGCTTGTTTCTGCTTATGTGATTTCCTCATTCGCCGATTTTCGGCTCATAAGCTTCCAATTCTTTTTTGTGGGCGGTGAAGATGATGGTGAGCACATCATGACAGTCCATACCATCAACCTCCATGACCTTCTTCTCAATATTGGCAACTTGAGTTGTAGCCTGGAGTTGGTGGTTTTATGAATGGTTTGGAGGTGATGGCATCATAGGGACGTTTCCATGACATTCTATTGATTTGGAGACAGAGTAAGCCCCTTCTTAATGTAATAGCTATGACTAGGGCTTAACGGATATGACATTTTTAATAGATTAGGTACTTCTTTGAATTATTTGAAAATGTTGAAATCAAATTTGATTGGCATTAAAAATTAGGCAGTTTTAGGTACTTAATTCAATAAAAATAACATTTCATTTTTCCTGGGCCGGTTAACTAGAGAATAAAACAAAGGGAAAAAGCCCTTGATACAAGAAAACATAAATTGTTGTCCAGAGACCCGGGACTGGCTTGGGTGCTTTTCAAACTCCACCAAACAATTCATCCCACTCTAGATACACTTGAAAATGAAGAAGAAAATTTGGGTAGACTGCATGATTAGGTTAACTTTTTCATTATAAGAATTAGCATAAAATCAGGCGAGATCAAAATACAAGAGTTTAATATTTATTTAAAAATTGTTACACAAATGACGTGGTACATAGTTGTAGAAATTGACAAGAAATCTAGTTTTAGACGTGTTAATATTCATTTTAAAATGTTCAATGTTGCCCCCCATTTGTTCTCAATAAAAAAAAGAAGTTTATTGTTGTCATTGACATATATTTGGGTCCACTTTGGCATATATTGACTCTTGAGATACAATTTGACATGCCTTACTTTAACATGCGTTACTTTGACATGCATTAAGATCTTTTTCACTTGCCATGGAGAATCTTAACTCTTACTAAGGATATGGACTAGGATTCTCTTCGGATCTCTTTCATTCGGATCTTTCAAATCTTTTGATTCTAAAGTTGGAGAGAAAGAGAGATGGAGAAGAGGGAAGAAGATAAACAACAGGTGAACAGAAAAGAAGTTGGAAGAAGATGAACATGAGAGGTAAAGATAGAAGAAAATGAACAGGAGAAGGTGAAGATGAACAAAGAATTCATTCTTGACCGTTTGATTTTCAATTGAACGGATAGGATTGAAGGATCCGAATGTAAGGGATCCTAAGAGGATCTTATTCCTAAGAACATGAAGCCAAACCTTAATTAATTTAAATAGCAGAAAAAAGTGATTTAAAACCCAAATGGATAAAAGAAGCACATCCTCTCTAGCTAAGTTTCTTATACACACGTTACAGTTCGTCTTTAAATATATAAAGTTTTTATTGACTATCTAAAGATCTACTACCACATCATCACTTGATCATTACATCAATCAAGTTGATATGATGCCCAAAACTTTGTCCACACTAAATAAAATTGATATGAACATATAGTGCATGTCGTGCTCTTTCATCATCATTTTCTTTTAGACAAACACCACCATTTTTCATTTAGTTATCTGTTTGGTAACATTGCACCAATCATGAGCACACACGCGCAAGATGATATGCTTTGGATATCATATACAACTTGAATAATAACTTATATACCATAATATTGGTGGAGGGATTATTAGATAATGTGAGTACTTGGAAGTCATCCGGGGGTTTAAAATCCTGTCAAACAAATTAAAGTGGCTGTTGACAGCTTCTAGCTCGATCGATGGTGATTTTGCTTTTAATCCTACACTTAGGTCAAGATTCGACTAGTTGAAACTTAAACAAACAAAAAAAGGGATTACAAACTATGATTATTATTTAATTTATGAAAAAACGAATAAACAAGATTGTCAAGACGGCTACATTTAGAGATTAAATTGTGAACGACTTTTTATAAGTGAATAACAAACATCCTATTTATAATAAACTAAAACATGATCTTTAAAACGAAAACCTAATTCTAATAGGGCCTAAAACCCAAAGAATAAAATGATCCTATATATTAATATTTTGATTTTCCAACTAGACTCTCGTCCTCCTCTTAAAAGAATTACATTTACCACCTAAACTGGCTAAAACGGTTAGAATATCCATCTCCACTTTGAAGAAAATAATGTATAAAAGATATATAGTGATGTGGGAATAATTAGTTGGAAAGAAATTAAATTGCATCATGATTCACGGAAGAACATCCTTGGTTAGATTTGGAATATTTCAGTGACAGTTCACATAACTAGTTGGCTAGTTGGCTAGTTGGCATGTTCTTCACTCACCTTCCCTTCCCTTTCTCATCCATCGACAAGAGTAATAAGACAAACATATTATAAGATAGCAGGCTTAACTTGTTGGACCAAAATTCCAATATATATAAGGTTTTAAAGTCCAAATGGTCATTTAGATTGACATAACTTGTCATTTTGATCTATGAAATTTAAAATTCATAGTAGTGGTCACATCATTTTGGTCATTCTGTAAAAAAATCTCTCTTAAATTAAAGAAACCACTAATTCGAGTGGAAGAGTTGATTTTGACAAAATTATCTCAATTGACTCATCGAGGGTACCCTCGTATAATTCCCGCGTGATCTACGGTGGTGGTCCTTGGGCTGATTAGTGCTAGACTTCTTCCCCCCTTTCTACTTTCCCTCTCTCTCTTTCCCCTCTTTTTGTGGACCGAATAGACGAATCTTGAATGGAAAATTTTCACGGAATGACTAAAATAATTGACTATGAATAATTTCCAGGACCGCGTTTATCGATTTTAAATCCTATAAATTAAGGTGACGAGTTATATCAATCTCATAACAAAAGGACTGTTTTCAGAGTCAAATACAATAGAAAGCCGAAGAGTTTCAATCAATTAACTAACAAAATATGGCCCTTTTAATGTCATATGCATGACATACAAGTGTCATATGCATGATATACAAGATGTCTCATCGGCAGTTCACAGAAGTCAAGTACCATAGGATGATGTGTACGTGTGTTGTCGCTGCAACAAATAGTTGGTCTGATATCATGTTTGAACGTGAACACCTAACTCTCGGTCAATTGATAATGAATCAAAATGCCCATTTTTCGAAACTCCTAATGCAAGACTACCATTTCCGATGCAAGACGTTACACCTTACTATGATCAAATATCGATAGCTGTTAAAACTAATGGGGAGCGATTAGACATCAAATTGAACCATTTAAAGAAGAATCAACCGACATAATTAGAGTCCTGGAGATAAAATGGGAGATAAAATGGGAGATAAAATGGTAGTGCGGAAATCGCTTTCCAATAAGAATAAATAATAGTGCAGGTTTCATTCATATCTTGGACCTCATACTGCTGACAGGAGTATGTGGATTTTCCAACAACATAGAAGGTGGTGGCATAAAAATCCAAGTGGAGCCAAAGCTTTTTCTCTTCTTTTATAAAGAAGATATCCTTTTAATATTTGGTGGAATCAAAAAAAAAAAAACAAAAAAAAATTGTGCCGCCTCTGGAAACAGACATGGCAAAGTCCACTCTTCTGTTTGTTCTTAAGGCACTCATGGCTTTGATATTTGCAGCTTGGATTTCTCTTTGGCTTCTGAAACCAACGCAACTATGGACTGAAAAATGGAAGGGAGCTGAAGATGCAGCAAGAAATACAGTGTTTGGATATTATGGTACGTACTTCAGATTTCAATTAAATAAGAGAAACGATAAACACATGTTATTATTTTCTTCTTACACACCGCTCTTTATTTATAGTAATATCAAACTGAATAAGTTGAACTGAAATAATGAACAAGATTAAACGGGAGCGTGTAAAGGAAGAAAAATGATCTTGGTTATCATTTCCCTTGTATTAATGGGGTTTTGATTTCTGCTAATTAAACCTCTTAATCCAATTTCCACTGGGAGAAAGATTAAAAGTTGCTAAATAATTTTCTTGTAGGTCTTAATTTTGCTGTTTATACATTCCCTCCTATTGCTTTGGCGATTATTGGATCTCTCTACTTGAATTTGACGCCTAAGGAGCCAATAAGGAGGTAAGTAGAAGGTTAATTATTATGTCATTAACGTTGTATGTCGAGCTGCTGCATAATCTGATCCGCTAATTGTTCTACATCTCCGCTAAATTATAATATCACTTAAGATTCCAATTTAACTTAGTTTTACTTGTGTGCTTAATTTGAATAAAACAGAAGAGGGAGGGGATTGATTGCTGCAAGTTTCTCAAATCCATTGGTGGTGAATGCTCTTGTTGGTGTTTTATCCACTCTAGAAATTCTAGCAGTGTTCCTCTTCCTCCTCTTCTTAGCTTGGAGTTTTTACGCCCGAATCTCTAATGATTTCAAGAACTTGAAGCCCTCAAAATCGATAGTGCTGAATTCGTGAGTACTGAACCCGAAAACTTTCTATTTTTCGACACTAAGAAGCAAGAATTTTCATCATAATTCATGCTTCAATTGTTCTCATCTCATCAGATGGCAACTCAAGTACTTAAGGGTGGCAACTCGGTTCGGTTTGCTAGCAGAAGGCTGTCTGGCTTTTCTTCTCTTCCCTGTCTTAAGAGGGCTGGCCTTATTCCGGTTTCTCGGCATCCAGTTTGAAGCTTCAATCAAATATCATACATGGCTTGGCACTGCAATGCTATTTTTTGCCACTTTCCATGGTGCAAGCACTTTGTTCATTTGGGGTGTCAGCCACTATATTCAAGAGGAGGTAAATCTTGTCATTATTTCAGATGCAGTCCACCGTCGCACTACTTCTAACACCGAAATTGCCTTTTAACTTAATCACCTGGTGTCTCCGTACATGAGTTTTATTCCATAAAGCTTCCGTGTTGTTAGTAATGGAACCGGTGTCTGAATATGTTCTTTTTTTAGTTTGTCAACTTTCTGACCTAGTATGTTATTCTTCAACAAATCCTAGTCCTTTTTTTCTGATCATTCTGGTGTCTGAATTCTTGGGTTTTACTAATATATCTTTCCGGATTCAACGACAGATATGGAAATGGCAGGACACCGGGCGGATATACATTGCTGGGGAGATCTGTCTAGTTGTAGGGTTAGTAATTTGGGTCACATCACTTCCTCAAATAAGGAGAAAAAAGTTCGAGATATTTTACTACACACACCATCTCTACATGGTTTTCCTAGTGCTCTTCTTGTTTCATGCTGGAGATCGTCACTTCTACGCAGTTTTCCCTGGAATTTTTCTGTTTGGCCTTGACAAGCTGCTTCGAATCATACAATCCAGACCCGAAACTTGTATCCTATCTGCCCAAATTTTCCCCTCCAGCGCTATCGAGCTTATTCTACCAAAAGATCCAGGTAAAACTTTTCGTCTTTTATCGGAAACCAGAATTTTGCATATAAGTTTGGAGCAATCATATGAAACATTTACTTGCCACTAATTTGCAGGGCTCAAGTATACACCAACAAGTGTTATATTTGTGAAGGTACCAAGCATATCCAAATATCAGTGGCACTCATTCAGCATTATCTCCAGCTCTAGTGTCGATCAGAACACAATGTCAATTTTAATCAAATCCGAAGGATCGTGGACTAGTTCTCTCTCAAATATGATCCAAACTAGGCAAGAGTCGGATAACGATCAGCTGAACTACATACCTATCGCAGTAGAAGGCCCTTATGGACCTGTCTCTATGGACTTCCTAAGGTGCACAAAGATTTAACTTTTCATGATACGTTACTTTCTTAAAAAATGCTTATTGCTTAGTGAGCACCAAATTTTAGACCTCAAAATTCGATTTACCCGAATGTGAAATTTTTGTGCAGATATGACAGCCTAATGCTTGTTGCTGGAGGAATTGGGATAACCCCATTTCTGAGCATCTTACAAGAGCTTGCTTCGTTTGAAAACACCAGCACACACAAATTCCTGCCAAGAATACAACTTATATATGCTGTGAAGAAGTCCGAAGACATTTGTCTATTGAACTCAATCTCAACCCTAATCTTTAACCAGCCATCTGAAAAATGCCATCTGAAAGTTAAAATATTTGTGACACAAGAGCAGTATGGTACAACAGTAAGAGAACTACTCGACGAGTTTTCGCAAGTGAAAGTGGTACACTTTGGTACAAAGTTCTTGAATTATTCGATCAATGGACTCGAAAGCCCAGTTTGGATGGCTGCCATAACCGGAATCTCTTCCATCCTGTTTCTGATCTTTCTTATCATTTTCAACCACATTTTTATTCCCTCACAAAAAATGGCCTCCAAATCAACGAAAGAAAAGACTCCGTCTTCAATTGCAGATCTGCTTATCATATCTTCTTTCATTGTAGCAATAACAGGCAGCATTTTTGTTGCACTTATTGTAAGACGGAGAAGGATACAGAAATTGATTCCTCCGATTCTCCAAAAACAAGGGAAAGACTTGGAAAAAAGCTCAATGCAAGCAAGTGATGCTGCTCTTGAGGAACATGAAATCCATTTTGGAGGCAGGCCTAACTTTCAAGGTACTTTTTATTCCTTTTCTCACATAATCTTTAACGAACTTATGCCAAACTGTGATTTGTTTGTAAGGAGAAACTGCTACAAGTATTTTCCATCTTTAACAACTTTCTTGTTTTGAGCAGATATCTTTGCAAAGTTCTCAGATGAGACGGGTGGATCTGATATCGGAGTGATGGTGTGTGGACCCGAGACTATGAAAGAATCAGTGGCAACAGAATGCCAGCAGAAGTTGGGTTCTAATAAGAAGCACAAAGCCAGTTTCAGCTTCCACTCCCTCAATTTCACACTTTAGCTACTATACAAACCCTAAGCATTAATAAAAAAAAACTGAGGATGTTAAATCTAAAATTTGTCTCTTCAGATTGGTCACTTGTCATTGCTCGCTAGGGTTAACGTTGTAAAATCGAGAATGTACATGTATAAATATCTTTATTACAATTATGAACCTTGTAGTGCCAAGGACCCAAGGTGGTATGATAAAATTCGAAGTGGTAAAAGAAAAGTAAAAGAAAAATAAAGGAGCTTTGAGTTTAGGGTAAATTATACTTTACCATCTCAGGTTTGAGGTCTATTACAATCTCATACAACATCTTCAAAACACAAAACATTTCACTTTCATACCTTATGTATTACTTTATTTCAATATAATATATCCGTTACATTTTTTTATTCATTAATCCGTTAAGAGCTGACGTGACGGTCACATTTGTATCACATGGAAAAATAATACTTTTTTATTAATTTAAAATATTATAATAATTTACCCTTAAAAAAATAATAAATAAATAACTGAAACCTACCTCCCCGCAAACAAACCTAGAAACCTTCCCTCTCCTCCACTTTCTTCACCCCCCTTCCCATCCAAAAACCCACCCCACGTCTTTTTCACGCGTTCTGCATTTCTCTGCTATTTCTTGTCTTTTCCCTCCCCTCACCAATCAAATCCAACGATCCAAACCCCCCAACTTTTCTTTCCGCACCCCAAAACCCACTTTTCCCACCCCCCAAAAGCCTCAGTCCACACCCACAAATTCCCAAATTGACCTTCGCCGGCCCCCCCCCACACAGTTAGCGACCCCAAGGTCCGACAAGTTGGGTTCTTTGCCTTGCCCGACCCCATCACCTCCTCCTCGCCTCCTATCTCCAACTCCCCTCCGGTAATTCCCTCTCTACGGTAATGATCCCCCCACCATGTCACTCCTCCGATACCAGCCGTCCGGTTCTTTTTTATGCAGTTCTTGCTGCACCGGGCCGCCAAGAGTCTACTCATCAAGAGTTACAACAACTCCTCTGAGCTCTTCCCTGCCTCGCCTCTACTACGTCGTCATCGTATGGAATTGTGATGGGGAATGGTGAGTTCCTGAATGATGTCATCATGATGGGTCAAACATTCAAAAGAGTAAAAGCAGTTAGGGGTTTGACAACTCCTTCTTTGTTTCCTAGTGGAGGGTTCGAATCTGACGGCTACTGTGAAGGCAAGTAGCGTCATCGCGAGTGGGTTGATGACTGTCTTCGTGGTTGTCACATCAGCTCTTAACGGATCAATGGATGGAAAATGTAACGGATGTATTCTATTGAAATAAAGTAGTACATAAGGTATGAAAGTGAAATGTTTTAAAGATGTTGTGTGAGGTTGTAATAGACCTCAAACCTAAGGTGGTAAAGTGTAATTTACCCTTGAGTTTATATACCAAATTCTATAAATTTTGCAACTTGTTTTTTTTTTTTTTTTTTAATTTTATTTATCAATATAAATTTTGTAACTAAACTACCATATTTTGAGGTATTGATGAAAAAAATCAATCAATTCTTAGTATAAATGGTAGGGGTGGGCTCAGGCTGGGTTGGATTCAAAATGAAGGGACCGAACCAGAACCATTTATAAATTAAACAAGGAGGAGATGGGGTTGGTATTGTTATTTGAGAAGTGAAGCTGGACGTAATCCGGTCTGTTTCAAATGGGCCGGTTCCAACGACCCACGGGTCCAATTGAAGAAAGCAAGTTGTTCATGATGAATCTGGAACCGAGGTGGTAGCTTCTGGGTTCTGATCCAATCTCTATACCATGGCCCTTCTTATTGATGCTATCTCCTTTGTCCTCACCATTTTTCTCTCTCCCCCAGATTTCGTGCCATAGCCTTCCTTGTGGATGTCGTCATCTCCTTCGTCCTCACCATTTCTCTCTTTCCAGATCAGGGTCGTGGAGTCGTCGGGCTTTGGTGGTTAATCTCACGACTTCACCCAGAGGATTCGTTGGACCGTCGGATATAAATTCTACATTTCAGCAGAAAGTTGTTTGCAGCATCTAAGAACTCGTTTGGAGGACATAAGGGCACCCCATTGAACACAGGCGGTGAGTTCTTTCTTGGGTGCAAAGACTGCGGTAGGGTGTAGAAATATGGGTGACGGGAGGGAGGAAAGTCAGGTCGTGCGGTGGTGTGCTCCGGTCCAGCCCTTTGTGAAGATTAACGTGGATGCTAGTTGGTCCAAGGCTTCAAAGTCGGGTTTTGTCGGTGTGATTGCGCGGGGACAGGACAGAAGGATGGTGGCAGCCGTGAGGTACGCTATCAGGGCTCCTTCGGCGGCTGCTGCGGAGGCCACTGCGTTGTTGCAGGGTGCCAGTTAGGAGCGACTTTGGGAGTCAGGTGTGTCATCATGGAATCGGACTCCCTTGAAGCTATAAAATGTCTCTCTAGTTCGCTGTCTATGGGTAGTTGGGAGGCCTTTCCCATGTTGGCTCGGGTTAAGCAGTTGGGGAGGGGTTTTCTTAACTGCCGATGGTCATGGGTACCCAGATTAGCTAATTGTGTGGCGCATGAGTTAGCGTCGGTTGATTTTCCGAAGATGTGTGATGTTGTTTGGGTCGATAGGCCTCCATCTTCGTTGGTCTTTGTATTGAGCAATGATGGGCTTCCATGTCCGCACTAATTTGGGTGTGGTGGTGATGGGGATGACGCCTCCACTTGGTGGGGGGGTCTGTGTGGTCTATCCCTTGTCACTGCTTGGTATTGTTTTGCTGCTTGCCTCTTGTAGGCTTCTTTTTAATCGTTTCGTTGGGTTTCAAACAAAAAAAAAAAAAAAAAAAGAATTCGTTTGGATGTACTTTTAAAATGATTAAAAATGTTTTTGGTGAAATTTTTTTGGACCACAGTGGTGGAAAAGTGTTGCATCCTTGCATGACGACGTGGATTCGAATCCAGTCAGTAATTAATCTAACATCTAATTTAACAAAATCTATCATTTGACCCAAAAAAAAAAATGTTTTAGAACCAATTCTTAGTAACGTAAATCTTGAAAAATGACTTAAAGTGTTTTATGCTTTGGTGCTTCTTACACAAAAGTGCTTTTGGAACCCAAAAACATTTTCTCTAAAAGTACTTTCAGTTATTTTAAAAGTATATCCAAACGAGTCTTAAAATCCCTATATTTCATATGTGGAAACGGTCTAAGTCAAGACCCTGTCTAAGCCAGGCCCCGTTTCCTCAAACGGTCTAAGCCAGGACCCGCCTCGCTAGACCCTGTTTTATGTTTCGTACCCGCCCCAAACATCGGATCCAAGACCCATTTGTCCACCCCTAATAAATGGTTCTGCCTAATGCACCTAATTTGATGCACTTTCGTTTCTTATGTCTTAGCTCAAAGATATTTACAGACATGTTGTCTCTAGATGGTAAGTGATTGGCATTTGATGTCGTAACAATTAAAGCCTTGACTGATGCCAAAATTGAAAATTGAATGCGCAAGCCAAAAAATCACTTTAGTGTTCTCCAATATCGTATATTAGCAAACATATACGATTTCGTATTAACTTTATTACATAAAAACTAAAAACTAGTCGAGGTGGAAGAGAAAGCTCCAGAACAGACATGGCGAGAGTCGAATATACAAAAATGAGACTTGAAGAACACATCTATCCGACTCACATGCGTTTGAATCATTTAGGTTTTGTGATGAGAGTGAGCTAGGGTTAAGTTAATATATAGATCCTGGTTTTTTCACAAGGGAAAATTTAAGATGCAGAATGAAAAAACGAGAGTATAACAGAGTGTATTTTCTTTTTGCTATTTGGTATGGTTAGTGGTTTTGAGAGTGAATCCCGTTACTCCATACTACTGTTAATAATTAGTAATTGGCCGTACAATCACATAACGAGTTCGTTTGAAATTAATTTCAAAATGGCTAAAAGCATTTTTTGTAGAAATGTTTTTAGAAATAAATTTTAATAGAAATTTAGGAAGCATTTTTAGTATTTTTTGAGCCTACAATATTTTCTTTAAAAACACTTTAAATCATTTTAAAAGTACTTTTAAATAAACATGACATAAAATATAAACCGATAAAATGTCAAAACATTGGATTTTAATATTAAAAAACATTTCAAAGTCTCACGTAACATAAAGTATAAATCGATTGAAGGTCAAAACGTAAGATTTCAATCTGAAAAAAAGAAATATTTCAAAGTAAAAAAAATTGAAGGTCAATGTGTATAGTGTATACCTCACAGTTTATTTTCATATCTTTGAAAAACAATAAAAAATATTATTGAAAAGAAAAAAACCAAGCATATTCAAACTGAAGGCTGCCGGAGGTTGAGTGGCGCCACTTGCATTGACTCTTCATCACTACAGCCGTCTCCGCCGCCAACGCTACCATCACTCCTTGCCAATTCAGACAACAATGCGGCAGGTGCGGTGGTGGCCGCGGCCTCACCAACCAAAACCGCCACAATATCCCGCATGTTAGGCCTTCTCTGTGGATGAGGATGGCAACAAGCCAGCCCAAGCTTCAAAGCAGTCTCCATCTCCTCCGCCTCATACTCCCCCTTTATTCTCGGGTCCGCCGCCTCCCCCACCCTCCTTCTAACATACAACTCCCTCACCCAATCAATCAACACCACCTCATCCTCCGCCGCGTCCACCTTAATCGGCTTCCTCCCGCACGCCACCTCCAACAACACCACCCCAAAACTATACACATCACTCGCCGCCGTCGGCGCCGCCACAGTCGCCAGCTCCGGCGCCAAGTACCCCAACGTCCCGACGACACGCGTCGTATTCGGTACCTCCCCGTGCTCGTACAACTTCGCCAGCCCAAAATCCCCGAGCCGCCCCCTCATCTCCGCGTCCAGCAAAATATTGCTTGACTTAATGTCCCTGTGAACCACCATCTGGTCCCACCCGTGGTGCAAATAATTCAACCCCTCCGCCACATCCGCCAGCACGCGCCGCCGCTTATCCCACCCCAAAACCTTCTTCGGCTTGTCGAAAATCCACCGATTGAGGCTCCCATTCGGCATGTAATCATACACCAGCATCAGCTCGTTCCGCTTCCGGCACCACCCCCGCATCTGCACCAAGTGCTTGTGCTGCAGCCGCCCCATGCTGGCGATCTCCGCCATGAACTCCCTCAGCCCCTGCCTCGAGTCGTGGTTGACGCACTTGACGGCGATTTCCGTGCCG